CTCCTTCTGACGCTGACGCTGCTGGCTCTAATGTCGTGTACGACGCAACCCCCCCCCGCCCCCAGGAACCGTTGCCCCTGGGGGGTTGATCAAAACAATGTAGCTGTAGAGGTAGGACACGTCAGCGGCGTAGAGGACCCCCCAGGGGGCGGAGTAACTAGGTCCTCCGGCAACCCTGGGGGGGGGGAGAATGCGAGGAGGCGACGAAACGGCGACGACGGGGGCTGCGACTGATCTGAAGGAGGGGGACTCGGCCTCCTCCTCCTCCTCCTCCTCCTCCTTTTCCTCCTCCTCCTCCTCCTTTTCCTTTTCCTCCTCCTCCTCCTCCTCCTCCTCCTCCTCCTCCCCCTCCTGGTCCTCCTCCTCGCCGAAGGCCAACACGCCTGCTGCTTCGGGGACGCCCCAGCGGGGAAGAGGACAATGGTGGGGAAGCCCATGATCGACATGCCCTCGAGCTCATTCCTCACCGAAAAGGGGAATGAGGAACTGGAGCGAGGGATGAGGCATGCGAGGAGGAGGAGGAGGAGGAGGAGGAGGAGGAGGAGGGGGAGGAGGAGGAGGAGGAGAAGGAGGAGGGATGCTGGTGCTGATGCTGATGCTGCTGCTGCTGCTTGATAGAGAGAGCGTGGTCCACCGCGCCATGCCAACTTTTCCTCCGGAAACCGGAGGGTCGCCCCCCCCCCCCTCCCCCTCGAAATCCCCCCCCCCTCCCCTAACCCACTCTCCCCCCCCCCCCCCCCGGCAAAAACCTCCCCTCCCCAACCCTCCCCCCCCCCCCCTCCCCCTCGAAAACGTGGGCGGGGGGTCACTACCGGTCCGAAACCCTTCCCGCCCCCCCCCTTCCGGATCCGGAAAAACCGGGGGGTCACTACCGTTCGAACCCCCCCACCCCTCGAAAACGGAGGGGGGTCACTACCGGTTCGAACCCCCCCCCACCCCACGCACCGCCAGCAAACGACTCCCGGTCCCTACCACCGTCCGCATCACATCCCCCACTGTTGTTCCCAGCACCACTGTCCTCACCACCACTGTCCCCACTGGTTCCACCACCGTCCCTACTGCCCCCAGTGCCCCACCACTGTCGCACTGTCCCCACTGTCCCCACCACTGTTCCCACCACGGTTCCACTCTCCCCACTGTCTCCACGGCCCCAACCACTGCCCGACTATCCCCACTGACCCCACTGTCCCACTGACCCCTCCGCTGTCCCACTGAGCTGTCCCACTGTTCCCACCACTGTCCCCACTGTCCCAACCACTGTCCCCACTGTACCTCTGTCCCATTGTCCCACCGCCGTCCTCGCCACCGCCTTCACCACTGTCCCCACCACCATTGTACCCTCCACTGTCCCACTGTTTCCACCTCATTCCCATTGTCCCCACACCACTGTCCCCACCACCACCGTCACCACCACTGTCCACTGTCCCCCCCTGTTCCCACCATTGTCCCCACCACTGTCCCCACCACTACCGTCCCCACCACTGTCCCACTGTCCCACTGTCCCCACCACTGTCCCGCTATCCCCTCACCACTGTCCCCACCAACACCGTCCCCACCACTGTCCGCACCCCCACTCGGTTTTCGAGGGGGGGGGGGGGTTCGAACCGGTAGTGACCCCCCCCGGTTTTCGAGGGGGGGGGGGAAGGGGGTTCGAACCGGTAGTGACCCCCCCCCCTTTTCATGATGAACTGGGGGTGGGGGGGGAGGGGTTCGAACGGGTAGTGACCACCCGCGGTTTTCCGGAAGGGGGGGGGGAGGGGTTCGAACCGGTAGTGACCCCCCCCGGTTTTCCGCCAGCAGCGGTAGAACACGCTCTTTCGATAATGATGATGATGATGATGATGATGATGATGATGATGATGATGATGATGATGATGATGATGATGATGATGATGATGATGATGATGATGATGATGATCATGATGATGAGGATGATGATGATGAGATGATGATGAATGAGGAGGAGGAGGAGGAGGATGAGGAGGAGGAGGATGAGGAGGGATGAGGAGGAGGCGGAGGAGAAGGGATGAGGACTGGAGTGGACACTTCCAGCTGGCAAGGCAACACAAGCCAGCCTGGGAGCGCCACGGGACGCGGCCCAACCCGCCGATCCCGACCTGGACAAGAGAGGACCCGGATTGGGACGGCAGAGTGCACGGGCATGACCCCCTGGAGAGGGGCAGCTCTCCAACGCAAGCCGCGATGCGCAACGCGCGATGACGTTCGCGACCTGGGGGTGACCCAGCATGCACACGCCAACCTCTGCTGATGGGCCGATTTCCCACACCATCCCATAGGTAGGAGAGGGAAGAGGAGGAGGAGGAGGAGGAGGAGGAGGAGGAGGAGGAGGAGGAGGAGGAGGAGGAGGAGGAGGAACAGGAAGAGGAGGAGGAGGAAGAGCAGGAGGTGGAGCAGGAGGAGGAGGACCTCCCCGCCCCCTTCGCACCGATGGTAGTCGTGGCGGAAAACTGGCCCGTCATCTGCTCCCCACGCCCCGCCGCGGCGCACGCCACCCGCCGCGGCGGCACTGGGCGACCGGCACGCGGCGCGGGCTGCCCGCCACGGGCAGCAGTCTGCGGAGGGCGGGCCGCTGGGCGCGCGACGGCGCCTCCTCGAAGTGCACCCCGCAGCCAAAGTCCGAAGCCCGCCAGCTCGAGCGAGTCAGAGTTCGGTGGCTCGACACGTCTCGAAGCCCCCAAAGCCTTCTGGGCCTCGTGAGGGGTGCTCTGGAGGCCGTCGGGGCCTTCCTGGAAGCTGGAAGTTCTGAGGAGACCTTGGGCCAGGGACGAGAAATTCGGTGGCAACTCATGGGAGCCTTCCATACCATCTTGTCGGCTCTTGCGAATCGACGCTGGCCGACGCTAACCCGACGCTAAATCGACGCTAATCGACGCTAGCCGACGCTGACTCGGCGCTATCTCGTCGACTCCCAGATGCTAATCGACGCTAAAGACGGAATTCGGAGGGTCTACTAGGCTCCAAGGATTTGCCACCGAATCAGAGGGCCCCTGGCCTCGCGCCGCGCTGGCGCCGTCGGCCGCGCGCAGGCGTTTAGCGCGCTGCGGAGCGCCAGCGTGCGACGCCGACGAGGCTGCGGCCAGGTCGGCCCCGAGCGAGGCCCACCCAACGGTGGCCCCATGATCGACATGCCCTCGAGCTGATTCCTCGCCGAGAAGGGGGAGGAGGAGCGGGAGCGAGGGAGGAGGATGGCGAGGAGGAGGAGGAGGAGGAGGAGGAGGAGGAGGAGGAGGAGGAGGAGGAGAGGAGGGGAGGAGGAGGAGGATGGAGGAGGAGGAGGAGGAGGAGGAGGGGGAGGAGGAGGAGGAGGAGGAGGAGGAGGAGGAGGAGGGAGGAGGAGGAGGAGGAGGAGGAGAAGGGAGGAGGAGGAGGAGGAGGAAGAGGAGGAGGAGGAGGAGGAGGAGGAGGAGGAGGGAGGGAGGGGAGAGGGGAGGGGGACGGAGACGGAGGACGGAGGACGGAGGACGGAGGAGGGAGGAGGAGGAGGAGGAGGAGGAGGAGGAGGAGGAGGAGGAGGAGGAGTAGGAGTAGAGAGAGTAGGAGTAGGAGTAGGAGTCAAGCTAGCCAGCTCGAGCGAGTCAAGCATGGCATGCCCAGTCCCACCCGCCCTCCCACAACATAAGAAGCAAAGCTGGCACAACTGGGGGCCGAAGTCACACCGGCCAGCCGGTTTGGTACAGCTGATGCGGCCGCGATGGCGGTTGCCGACGGGAACTGGCGAGCGCGTGTTGAATGCCGCGCACGCATTGCCAGACGAGTCGAGAATGGCCCGGTACACCGCAGGAAGCCAGAGGTGGCCGGAGGAAGCCCGACGGTCTGACAGGACACCCCAAAGCATTTTTGTGAAAAAGCATTGGGTTTTTGATGTTTTTATGTTGAAATGCTTGCAAACACACGGTGTTCGGTAGGATTCTGACATGAACGCGCGAGTGTGCTCTTTGTGGTATTTTTTGCACAGGATTCGCGGCCTGGGTGCATGACAGAGCATCGCGAGTGCACCGCGCGATGACGTGAAATCGCTGGATTTGACCGAATTCTTAAGATTCCTATGGTTTTCCTATGATTTCAGCAAGAGAGCCCGGGCGGGAAATTTGTACAATTTTTGTGAAAAAGCATTGGGTTTTTGATGTTTTTATGTTGAAATGCTTGCAAACACACGGTGTTCGGTAGGATTCTGACATGAACGCGCGCGTGTGCTCTTTGTGGTATTTTTTGCAATGGATTATCGCTGTGGACGACAGGACGTCCATGTCGAGAGGAAACAATCAGAAACATGTCGATTTCGTATTGTTTTTTTACAGGTTAGGATAGGACCACCCGGATGCGGCCCCTATCGGCCGGCCTGAGGGGGGAGTAGGAGTATATTCTAATAAGGATTAAGGATAGGAGTAGGAGTAGGAGTAGGAGTAGGAGTAGGAGTAGGAGTAGGAGTAGTAGTAGTAGTAGTAGTAGTAGTAGTAGTAGTAGTAGTAGTAGTAGTAGTAGTAGTAGTAGTAGTAGTAGTAGTAGTAGTAGTAGTAGTAGTAGTAGTAGTAGTAGTAGTAGTAGTAGTAGTAGTAGTAGTAGTAGTAGTAGTAGTAGTAGTAGTAGTAGTAGTAGTAGTAGTAGTAGTAGTAGTAGTAGTAGTAGTAGTAGTAGTAGTAGTAGTAGTAGTAGTAGTAGTAGTAGTAGTAGTAGTAGTAGTAGTAGTAGTAGTAGTTAGTAGTAGTAGTTAGTAGTAGTAGTAGTAGTAGTAGTAGTAGTAGTAGTAGTAGTAGTAGTAGTAGTAGTAGTAGTAGTAGTAGTAGTAGTAGTTAGTAGGTAGTAGTAGTAGTAGTAGTAGTAGTAGTAGTAGTAGTAGTAGTAGTAGTAGTAGTAGTAGTAGTAGTAGTAGTAGTAGTAGTAGTAGTAGTAGTAGTAGTAGGAGGAGGAGGAGGAGGAGGAGGAGGAGAGAGGAGGAGGAGGAGGAGGAGGAGGAGGAGGAGAGGGGGGAGGAGAGGGAGGAGGAGAGGGAGGAGGAGAGGAAGGATGAGGATGAGGATGAGGAGGAAGAGGAGGATGAGGAGGAAGAGGAAGAAGAGGAGGAGGAGGAGGAGGAGGAGGAGGATGAGGAGGAGAAGGGATTGAAGAAAAAGGAGGAGGAAGGATGATGATGAGGAGGGACTTAGGAGGCGGAGGAGGAGGAGGAGGGATGAGGACTGGAGTTGACACTTCTGGTGGGCAAGGCAGAGGGAGCCGATTTCGCGCACCGCGCCAGGCGATGTGCAATTATCTTCTCGCTCTCGAGCCCAGACGCCGCCCCCCTTTGGAGAAGGGCGACCGGTCTGGCCCAGACCGCGACGCGCGAAGCGCGATCACCTTCGCGCTCCTGGGGATGCTCTACACGCAAGAGCCAAAGGTAACGAAATTGGGACTCGCGCGCGCGCCCCCCCGTTGCGGACGGAAGGCGCTCGCGCGCGCGCGGTCCCGCTTTCCAACGATTTGGCGCAGGTGAGACATGGGCCGCGCACAAGCAGCAGAACTCTCGGAAGTCACCGCGCGGCGCCTCGGCGTGAGCCGCGGCCAAGCTTGCGATTGTCTGGGCTGGGGCCGAACATACGCCACGCCGAAGCGGGAACGCCGCTTTCAAGCGACGTCTGCGCGGCGCTGGCGCGAGGGCGACCTTTCGCCCGCGCGCGCGGCCCCGCTTCCGCTTCCGACGGCTGGACGAAAGAAACATCTGCGCCCAGCCAAGGCTTGAGCGCCGACTTCAAACACATCTGCGCGGCGCCTGGGCATGAAACGACACCCCGCACGCGCGCGCGCGGCCCCGCTGCCCTCGAATTGGCGAGTGAAACGTGTACATGACGAGCGAATTGCCCATAGGGGAAGCGCCACTCTGAGGCGAGACCTGCGCGGCACTGTGGCGAGAGCGCCACGTCGCCCGCCGCGCAGAGCACACCCCGCCGGCGACGCCCTGGCGAGGGAAAGCGTGCTCCGCGCCAGTGCGTGCAAGTAGCGCGCAACATTTGCGCGGCACCTGGGCTGCAATGACATTGGGCCCGCTCGCGCGACGACTCGGCGAGCGAAAGACATACGCCGCGGTCGAGCGGGGGCGCAACTTATGGGATAATTTGAGCGGCGCTGAGGCGAGAGCGCAACGTCGCCCGCTCGCAACGCGATGTGCGACGCGTCCTATTCCCACCACGCATTTTTGCAACGTCGACGACAAGGCATCCATGCTGAAAGGAAGAATAAGCACCCGATTGCGGGCCGCGCCGCGGCCTCGGGTCGGCCCTCCGGGGGGGATCTCGTTGACGCAGTAGAGACCCCCACTGCGTGCTGGATCTGTTACGGGGCGCCCATCCCGTAGAACCCCTTTCTGGATTCTGTAGCAGTTCGGAGCAGGCCAGGAGCTGTAACGGCAAACCAGCGCGACGGTCCGCACATGGGCATTCCTGTAGGCCGGAGCTTTATAAGGCGCTCCCACATGTAGGTCGGCTGGCCCACCCACCTGTCAGGCTGCGACCCGCGGGCCGGTTGAATTCCCTGCATGTCTTTGGCCCCCCCGCCACTGCCTACGCGGTAGCACGAGCACCGAGAATCCCGAAGCTGGAAACACCCCGGGCACCTCGTCAGCATATGGCCCCGGTCAGCAGACAGTCCCTCGTGCGAGGTACTTCTCCAGCCCAGAGCCACGCCCGCCAGAGCCTCGTTAGCCGCGTCAACCACGTGCCGTTGGCGCCCTTCCACCCCGGAGGGTAGCCCGCGAAACCTCCGGCGAGCCGGAGGGGGCGGGAGAGGCTGCCACAGCGCCGTGGGATCGTTCCCGCTCCCCGCCAGACTTTCGTCGGTAGGTGAGGTTGGACTTTCGGCAGCACTGTGGCAAGGACATGGGTACAGCCACCTCCGAGCCTCCCCCTGCCGGGCCGCGGCCGTAGCCGTAGCCGGGGAGCCGCTGAAAGGAAGAACGTTGACATTGCATTGTCTTGATGGGTGGGATGGAACCGTCCACATGTGATCGCTATCGACCGGCTAGTCGGCAGAGTGGCCGTGTAGATCGATAGTGGATGCTGATGACGAGAGAGGAATGAGGAGGATGAGGAACATGAGGAGGATCAGGAGGGTGAGGATGAGAGGGAGGATTGTGAGGGGAAGAAGCTTCGCGGAGGAAGCAGGCTGGGAACAGGCGCCAGGCTTGTGAGGGGGGAGCCTCTGCACCCCCTCCAACTCCTCCTACTCCTTCCCCCCTCCTCCTTCCCCTCCTCCTCCTCCTCCTCCTCCTCCTCCTCCTCCCGTTCCTCCTCCTCCTCCCGTTCCTCCTCCTCCTCCTCCGCCCGGCCAAACTTGAGCGAGAAGCTGCGCGAGCACAGCCGTGCCTCTGTGCTTGGCTAGGTGCTGCGCCCGGTCCCAGCGGCAGAACCCTAGAGGGCCATCTTCGTGCCTGCCGCTGCCCTGCACTCCCACCCTGTGCCTCAACAAGTGCATCCATGCCTCGCCATCGCTCGGACGTCCATGCCTCGTGCATTGCTCGGTTTCGTGCGTGTTTTTGTCCGCAAGGTGACCCAGAATGCTCCTCGATGTTTCTTGCCGAGAAGAAATGCACACGTCCGAGCGATGGCAGGATGCTCTCTCTCTCTCTCTCTCTCATCAACTGAAGAACTGAGCGTTACTCCGCTCCGTGCTTTTCAGGTGGACGTGGAACGGGAGTGGCGGGGGGCAGGGGGAGGAGGATGGGCATGGAGGATGCGAGGTGAGATGTACTACATGTCATCAGCGGCATCAAGTGTCCACGGCTCCAACCAAACAATGCGGACCGCATCTCACGCTGAAGGCTGCTACAGAACCGTGAGGGCGTCTTAAACAGCAAAATATTGTTGGTGTTTCAATGATTTTGTCATTGGAAACATTCTGGATCCCATTGTGGTCATCATTTTTAGGGCCTCTCTCAACCTCCCCTTCTGCTCGTCCGGGTAGGGTGCGTGTACGCGTGTGCGCGCGCGATTGTGTGTGTGTGTGTGTGTGTGTGTGTGTGTGTGTGTGTGTCTGTGTGCCCTGGCCACTTTTCACTACCTTCCTGCCTGGCGTGGCACCTACTGTGGCCCTTTTCGCCTTTTCGCGAAGTCGCCGACCTGGCCATTGCCCAGAAAGCCTTCCAGGATATCCCTGACACCTCCTGGGCTTATTCTGGTCCGCCCCCCTCCTCCTCCTCCTCCTCCTCCTCCTCCTCCTCCTCCTCCTCCTCCTCCTCCTCCATTCCTTATCCTTATAGATAACTCCTCCCTGTCGCACCCCGAGGCTGGTCGAAAGGGTGGGCTAGGCGTTTCGCCTGAGACTTTACGATCCTGATGCTTATGCATTGGCACCATGTTCATAAATGGAGGGCGGGTGGCTTTCAACATGTTGATTCCAGGAGGGGCGTCTGGCGGGGTGCCAGAGACAAGCTGAATCTTTCTCTCAGGCACCAGGAAGTTGCCAGAGCGGCAGCTCGGTCAGAATAAGATGGTGCGTGAAGGAACGCAGCGTGCAAGCACTGGAATCGCCGCGGGTCCTGACCCGCCACGACAAAACAGACAGCCATAAAATTCACTTGACAAGAAACTCTCAAACCAAAACCTTAACATGTATGTGAACAGGCGGTGGCGGGGGAGAGGTCGGCAGACAGAGAATAACAAAAAAACGGGGACGGCTCACGGGCGCCTCGCACGCACAGTACCACAAACAAGACCTTTCACATGGCTCTGTGCCCATTCGCAGTTCGCAGTACTGACGTTTCGCAGGAGTCAAGCGATCGAAGACTTGCTGGATCTTACCAAGTTTTGCATAACGACGCACAGTATCTCCACACTTGACTCTGACACGGGGGTGTCTCTCACTCGAGGTACGGCGGCGCTTCAGCAGATCATCTGAGGCACCGCCGTGGCGCAAATGGCACAAACACGCATTAGCTCCGAGCTTGGCTGCAGCAGTGTTGAAGAGGCGCGCAACTCTGACGGCGTCCAAAGGAAAGAGGGGGCGCTCAGCCGAGGCACAGCCGACCCAGGCTTTCCGGACGTCGCCCAGCCAGTCTGGGCAATCGAAAACGACGGTGTCATCGAAGGTCTGGGTCTTCGACGGCAGCAGCCTCTCTCAGGCGCCACGATAGAGACCGCCGGCGGAGAGCCGCCTTCTCTGATATCCCTGGCTTGACCAGGTCCCCCACCGCAGCGCGGAGCACCTGCCCAGGGCGGAAGGAGCCCGCAAAGACGGTCTCGACGCACAGGGCCGCGGCCCTCTCGCCGTCGCCGATGAGGAGGGCGCACATACCCGACTTGACCTCGATCGGCAGCGGCATTCTGCTGACGGGCGGGAACCGCTTTCTGCATCCCTTGAGGGCTCGCTGGAGCCGAGGGTAATCGCAGATCTTGCCTGGCAGGGTGCTGCAGAGGAGGTCGTGCGCCGTCTTCTCGGCGCGGGTGAGCTTCGCGTTGTCCGCCAGGACCTCGTCTGGGTAGTCGAGCAGGTTGGCCTCCAGCTCGCTGTGGCTGTCGGTGGCCCTGCCTCGGCGCTGCCGCCGCGCGCGGAACAAGTCCTCGAAGTGCGCGCGCGCGCGGCCGCGCCCTCGGAGCCGACGGTCGCGACCTCGCAGGCGCCGAGGTCGCGCGTCTGAGCTCGGTGCCCGAGCGTCGGGGGCAGAGGCCGCGCAGCAGGAGAGGGGGCCGCGGCGGGGCGCCGCCTCGGGCTGCCACGCCCTCGGCCGCGGCCCACCGATGGCACCGCCCGCCGCGGCCCGACCCCCGCCGGGGCCCCGGCGGCCTCGCAGGAAGTCGACGGCGCGGTGGCTGCTTGACAGACCGACAGGCTCTGCTCACGACGTAGGCGCTTCATAGAGCGCAGGCCGCGCCTCCGTCAGCCGCTCGAAAAGTCGAGACGGAGCATCGGCGGGATTAAACTCGCTCGGCGCACATCTGAGCGTCACCCAGGAACCCGTCGCAATCGAGAGGGCCGCCAGGCGTCGGACCATCTGTAGTGCCCGAAGGAAGTGGCGCGCCCTCTTGAGAAACAAGGGCCACGCCGAAGTTGTCGACGAGGACGAGGTGCCTCTGGTGGAGCTGATGGGGGTCCCGGAGCTTGAGGCGCATGCCTTTGATGGCGGCCCTCCCTTCCTCGTTGCCAATCGGCTCCTGAAGCCTATCTTCCCGCCCTCCAGCATTTCCAGGACCGGCCCATGATGGTGGACTGCGGGGCCTCGGGAAAACGCGCGCGAGGCTGCCGGGCCAACTCCGAGGAGGCGCCGCCGTGCACGCCGAGGTCCCAGAGAACCGCGTCCATGGTCGCGGCGCCCACGAGGGGGCCAAGGTCGGCCGCCGGGGCCCGTCTACGAGGGGCCCGCTCCGAAGGGCTTAGACGCTGGTATCTCCACCTCTCGTTCCACCGACCCATCTCCCCGACCTCGTCACTGGCGAGCTTGGCCTCCATCACTCCCCGCCCACTGCCGCAGGCGTCGGCTGCGAGGACTGACGAGGACCGCGGGCGCCCGAAGTTGCCTGAGAGCAAAAGGACCACGCTGGCACAGACCAGGAGCTAACGGCACACGCAGTCCCACAGGGGCCTTGGAGTGTCGCAGCAATCCCGAATGAACGCGCATGAGGCCCGCAAGACCGATAATGCAGGCCGCAAGTTGAAGGCCTCGACGACGCAGTGGCCCAGGAGGCGCTCGAAGGCCCTTCCAGAGACGCGACCATCCCGAGCAGCATGCCGCACAGTACCCCGAAGAGTCCAAGCCCGCTCGGGCCCGGACCACGCCGCGCGCCTCGCCACGAACGGGGCCCCCAAGATGTCCGAGGAGGTGGGGGCCCGAGAGATCCCGTGCATAACGAAGCCCTCCCCCTCGAAGGCGCTGATGCGCTCGTGGAGACGCTTGTCGACCCGATCCTTCGACATCCCGAAAACCGTCATAATATCACAATATGGCAGAGCAATGGGATCGTCCGACAGAGAGGGGGCGGGCCAGGCATTCGACATGTTGAGCTCTTGTCTAAACCCAGCATCTCTGAGCAACTCAGCGTGCAAGGCCAGGGCAATGCAAAGCGACCGCGTCCAGCACATCGGCAGCGCGAGCAGACAGGGGAAGACGCCCCCCTCGGAGGGCAACAGGCCCCCCCGCGCATCTGAGTTCGCTCGCCACTTCTGCAGCCAAATCAACTTCCGCGGCTCCGAAGCTGAACAGCGCACTGAGCGCAGCTGGCACACCGCGCTGGTAGAAACCATTATGGGTGCCCCCCGTCGCCGCGGAAACAGGGGCGTCTGCGTCGGAGCCCTCGAGGCCGTGCGTGTTCTCAGCCGAGCTCATCTCAGGCTTAGGAGGGCGGCGGAATAGCTGGTTGACCCTGCGACAAGCGAGGGCGAGTCTCTGACGATTCTGTTTTGTTGACGAAGAACGGCGTTATCCTACCCTTGGAGACCTCGCTGAAACCCAATATCCCACGCTCGAAGACGCTTCCGAGGAACGTGATTGATCTTCTTGCACCCCTGGATTCGGGCGTCGGTGTAGAACCCCGCGGGCTCGCGTCGCAGACGGTGCTCGGCAACGTCGGCATCGGCCGAAATATTCTCGAGATCGAGACCACGGCCGAGCTCGGGAGAAACGATAGTAGTCAAATCGAGGGCGAGACCTGGTGCCAGCCAATTCGCAGAAAGAAGCGTGGTCACTTCGTGCGCGATCGGTAAGCTCCGAAGCGATAATGGAAAAGAAATGCCAGCGAATCGCACTGCGCGCGGACCTTGGGCCGACCACGGCGCCGGCTCCTCCGCGCAGCGGCGGCGCGGAGAGCTCCCGCGGGTCGCGCCCAAAGGGCAGGTTCAGGTCGCCGCCGACTGCCTCCTGCGCCGCCGAATGGACGGCGAGCCACCGCTCGCGGCGCAGCCGAGCCTCCCCCCCGCTGCCGTTCCCAGGGCGCCGGCCAGGAGGGGCGTCGGGAAGGGGGGAGAGACCGCGTCTGCACCGATCTCCCGCCGTCGGCGAGGCCAAGCCTCGGGGCGGCGCCGCGCAAGATTGCTGCCCGAGGAGACCCCGTCAGACATCGCGCCAGCGTTCGCGTCGAAGACAGGGGCGTCGCCACCCCCGCTTCCTTCTTCACGTCTTGGCGGAGGCCGATGGGGCCTGCCTTGACCTTCGCAGTCGCGACGCCGCTGGCCCTGGCCTCCCGGGCCTTCTTCTTCTCCTTCAAGATGGCAGCCTCTATGCCGAGCTCCATCGCAACGTGGGCCCGCAGCGACGGGGCCGTCTGCGCGTCGCCTTCCCGATCGCTGATGCCGAGGAAGGCATCGCCGACCTCGTAACTCGGGGCGTCGGGGTCATCGGCCGCTGCCCTTCCATGCAACGTGATCCGCCTCGAGAGGAGCTCGACCCCTGCCAAGTTATTGACGTTGAGCCCATCGACAGTCGTCAGCAGGTGGACTGCGCGATGGAGGATGGAATGTTCATGGGCGGCCGAGCTGCGTTGCCTCAAAGGACTGTCACTGCGCCACTTGTCCGCGCGGGCAACCAGGCTTGCGATGCCGCTCCCGATCGCTGGATCGATCCACTCGGCCCCGACGGGCGGCCCCGGCAAAGGCGACGGAGGCGTGCCCTCAACCTGACGCGTGCGCGCTGTCATAAACCCGACGGCCTCGACCAGGGCGCGCTCCGTCGGGGCCCGCGCCGAGATCCTCGGGACGTCGCAGAGGAAGTTGCTGCGGGCAAGGGCCCACCGTGTGATGTCGGCCCCCTCCGCGAGCATCTCGAGGCTGGCGACGGCGCCATCGATGACCGCCGGCGCCCTCGACCCCAACGCCGCGGCCCCCACGGGCAGCGCGCGCTCGGCCCCGATGTCGTGGCCGATGAAGGGGCTCGGCGAGGGCCCAGGCGACGCCTGCGGGAGCCAGGTGGGCTCCTCCAGGCGTGGGGGCGACAGCAGGCGCGGGCGTCGCCGCCGCCGCGGTGCCGCGAGGCGCTCGAGCGGCCTCGCCCAGCCGCGGGGGCCCGCGTTGCGCTCGCTCGAGGTTGCAAGCCTGGTCTGCCTCCGCGAGCAGCTCGCTGATCTCGGAGGCCGTCAGCGGGGCGAAGGTGTAGAGCACGCTGCCGCGGCTGGGGATTCCACGAAGCCGTGCGTCGATGGTAGCCGAGTAGCGGATCCCCTCAAGATCCGCGGTGTTCAGGCTGAGCTGCTCTACGGATACATCGTGATCGGGGGGCGCGACAGCATGCTTGTCATTCTCTACATGTGCACTCACCAGCCTCGCATGATGCTCGGCAGCGCCGTAGTGGACCCAGGCTGCGGAGCCTCGGTCCACCACGGCACCGGCAGCGGTTCCTGCCGCCGCCATCGCCCTCGCAGACTGTCAGTGGACGCCGTGGCCACGACGCCCCCGCCGCCCCGCTTGCCCCTCTGGGCCGATCCCGCGGGCGCCTCCCCGCCCGATCTCGCGGGCGCCTGAGACCCGCTGGTGGCCGCCCGCGGCGGCGACGGAGCAGGGGGGCACACCGCCCCGCGACGGATCAAATCCTGGGCGAACGCCACCGGCACCGAGAGCGCGACGGCCGCGCCCGCGAGCACCCCGAGGAAAAATAACCCCCTGAGGCTCGCAGGGGCCTCGGCCGCTGGCAGCGGCGCGGGCCCGCAGTGCTCCAGCTGCTTCGCCAGAGCCGCGCCGATGCTGGGGTCGCCGCGGCAATCACAATGGCAGTGGCAGTGCTGCGGGCGTTCGCGAACTGACCGGCCGAGCGCTGCTCCAGACGCGACCGCCCCCCACTGTGAGAGGAGCGGCCGCGCCTGCCCGAAGTCCTTTCCCGAGCCAGAAAGAACTGCAAAACCATGCGCGCAATTGTATATATATATACATACAAGACTTGAAGCTCGCTGCGCTTCGCTTGGAGGTATTGGCACGATGCGCTGGCGTGCAGTGTGCGAGCGAAGTGCGACTATGCGGGTTGAAGCGTCGGCGATGGGCAGGGGCGTGGATGGGAAGGTCACGGGCGCATGGGCGTCGGCCCATGGAGTGCGCGCGCGCCGAGTTGGCAAGGGGCGACGCACGCGACGGTCGTCGGCGATAAGATTCGGCGGGGATGCAACGCCGAGGGCAGGGGAGGTGAATACAACGAAAAGGGTGCTGGCAATGATGGTGGCCTCATGCCTCTGCAGATTTGGGTTGGGCAGGTCACGGATAATGGCAACTGAGATGATGACGGAGTGTAGGAGGCGTACATAGGACTACGACGGTGATGACGTGGTTGTGGCGACGACGGAAGCGGGATGCACAGGGGGCGGGAAAGCCTGACGCATGCGTGGGGTTCAAGGGTTGGGAAGGTGATGGGGGGAAGAGGGGCGAGTTGTGGAGAAGGGAGGCTCGCAGGGGGCGGGTGCTATGTTAGTGATGATGATTCCGTTCATGACAGGTGTGGTAAATGCGGGGCATTCGGGACAACTTCAGGATTCGGGGGCCCTGTGAGGGAAGACGGAGGGGTCGGAATCCTTCTTGGCGGGTGGGACACAGGGGGTTGGGAAGGTCAGGGGCAGCGCCTGTGGACAGGGTGTTTACCATGGCGGTGACCACGATGATGATGACGTGGTTGTGGCGACGACGGAAATGGCATGCGCAGGGGGCGGGAGGGGCAAGGGCTCGCCAGCCTGGATCGTAGGAGCGGCCCGAAACCGGGACCCCCCCCCTCAGCCCGACGTGGCCGTTCTCTCGGAGTCTTGACTGTGTGCTCGGATCTGCAAATCTTCATGCAACAGACCTCGTGCCAGCGAAACGGTCTGGACGGCTGCTGGCCTGCGTGCTTCCTTCCCTGTTCGTCTGCGCGCGCGGCCGCTGTTTCATCGGCCTGCGCGCGCGTGGCTTGCATTGTCGTGCCCTCCTGTCTTGCTGCGAAGAGAAAATATTTACACTGCCCCATGCCTGCAGTCCGCGGAGCACCTGGTCAGGTCCATATGTTTCGAAGCACATCAACGATTTGGGTCTCGTGGGGCCCTCTTCGGAGGCCTCTCGGAGGCCTCTTGGGCGGTATTTGGGGCCTTTTGGGCCGTCGTCAAGTCATCATAGACGTCTTGGGCAGATTATTCGGCGATTTCGGGCCCTCTGGACCGTTTTGGGAAGCCCAACTGGCGGGCCAGAGAACACCCAAGGGACACCTGGGGCCTCTGGGGACTGGTCAGAGCCTCACGGGCCCCTGGGGCCGCCAGATTCTATTGGGGGGGGGGGGGCGCCCATCCCTGGGGATCTCCTGATGTGAGATAATAAAGATAGGAATATATATACACTCAGGGAAGACTGCACGTACATATCTACCACACCTCCTCGCGACGCAACTCCCTCTGAGGAGTCAACCACCAGCAAAGCAACTATAGGCTCTCGCCTTCGCGCCGCGCGCATTCGTCAAGCTTTCGGATTGAGGGCGGGGGGTTTTCCAACTGTGGCTCTTGCCTTAGCGCCGCACACACTCGTTTTAAGCAAATGAAAGACTTTCACGAATTCAGAGCGGGAGGTTTTCAAGATGTGGCTCTCGCCTCAGCGCCGCGCACATTCTGCTTACACCAATTGGAAAGAGCTTCGCGGATTGAGGGCGGGTGGTTTTCAAAACGTGGCTCTCGCCTAAGCGCCGCGCGCACTCGTTGTAAACATTTGTTAAAGCTTCACGGGTTGAGGGCTGCTCGTTTTCAAAACGTGGCTTTCTCATTCGCACCGCGCACATTCGCTTAACATTTACAATATGTTCACTGCTTCTCATGGTTAACATACCAGACATGGTTCTGGAGCGATTCAGGATTGTCAGGGCGCAGCAAATTACGTTGATTCGCGGTGTTGAAGTCCCAGGAGTGGTGTTCTGGCACGATGCAGGATCGCCAAGACGTAACAATCAGCTTAACTCGTCGCGTTGAAGTCTTGAGAGTGGCGTTTTGGCACATTTCAAAGTGTTCACACGGGTGTCCCACAACGCGGCAATTCCCTGTGGAAGTGACCCTGTTTTGGGGCCTATGAAGAGGGATCTTGGAGGGAGTGTGTACTTCAACATCGGGTCTACACTGGTCCTCCTCCTCCTCCTCCTCCTCCTCCTCCTGTTGGTCCTCCCCGTCGCCCTCCTCCTCCTCTTCCTCCTCCTCCTCCTCTTCCTCCTCCTCCTCTTCCTCCTCCTCCTCGTCCTCCTCCCCCTCTTCCTCCTCCCCATCTCTCCACGCATCTATCCACGCACCACCGGGTGGCAAGAGGCGAGGGAAAGGTCTCTGTTGTCTGGCCGCCCCCACGTCTGCGGCCAAGTGCACTGGGGAGGAGAGGAAAACAAGGTAGGGCAAACTGAGAAGGAGAGGGGGAACCATCTTTCTTTCTTTCTTTCTTCTTAATTTCTTGATTTGTTTGTATCTCTCCCTCTCTCTCTCTCTTATCCTCGTCCTCCGCCCCCTCCCCCTCCCCCTCCTCCTCCTCCTCCTGGCTCCTCCTGGCTCCTCCTCCGAGTGGGGGAGGGGGGGTCAGCCCAGTCCTGGTGGCGTCCACCTTCGTGATCCTGAGGGAGCGGACGTGCTTGAGCTTCCTCGCGAGCTCCTTGTAGTGCGGCTCGAACTGGGGGCGGAGCAGGAGGGGGGAGCAAGGAGGGGAGAGAGGTGCTCGATCATTCTCCTCCTCCTCCTCCTCCTCCTCTTCCTCCTCCTCTTCTTCCCCCTACTTCTCCTCCTCCTCGTCCTCCTTTTCCTCCTCCTCCTCCTGCTCCTCCTCCTCCTCCTGCTCATCTTCCTCGGACTCCTCCTCTTCCTCCTACTACCCCTCGCGCTCCCTCTCATCGTCGTCCTCTTCCTCCCTCCATGTCCTCCTCCTTCCCATTCCTCCGACGACGACCGCGGCGACGATCGACCCCAGACCTCCCCGGGAGCCCGCTCCGACCTGGAGTTCGAGGCGCACCCGGCCGTGGCGACGATGGCCAACCCCGTGGAGGCCAAAGCAGGTCTCAGGGAGCGCCCCGAATCGGCGGCGAGCGTAGGGGGGGGAAGCGAGAAGGGGCGGGCCTTCTCGGAAGGCACAGACAAAATTCTCAGAAGGCGCGAGGGCTTCTGAGAAGTCCAGCCGCCTTCTGAGACTCATTCTCATTTCCACCCTCGCTCGCCGCCGACCGAAATCTTCGAGCCTCGATGCTCAAGCCTGGGCGATAACGACGACGGCGACGGAGGCGGCGACTAGAATAAGAAAAAACGCAAAAAACATAAACTTGCGGCGCTCCGCGCGGAGTTCTTGGATCCGCGCTGGTCCCCCCTGCCTGGCGCGCGGAGCGAGCCAGGGGCGGCGCCGGAGGCGTCGCTGGGGGGGCCCAGCGCGGATCCGAGAAATCCGCGCGGAGAGCCAACAGTTTATGCATATGGCGTTTTTTCCTTCGACTCAAGGAGCGCCCCGAAATCTTCAAGCCTCGATGCTCAAGCCTGGGCGACAACGACGACGGCGACGGCGATGACGAGCCGTCCTTGCGGCAGTGCCCGCACCACGGCGCGTAGAAGTCGATGAGCACGTCCTTCGACTCGTCCTCGGCACCGCGCCGCCGCCGTTGCCGTCGCCGTCGCCGTCGTCACCGTTGCCGTCGCCGTCGTCACCGTCGTCGTCGCGTCGTCGCCGCCGTCACCGCCGTCGTCGTCGGCGGCGGCGTCGTTTTCGTCTTCGTCGTCGTCGTCGCCGTCGCCGTCGTCGTCGCAGTCGCCGCCGTCGTCGCCGCCGTCGTCGTCGTTGTCGTCGCCGTCGTCGCCATCGCCATCGCCGTCGTCGTCGCTGTCACCGCCACCGTCGCCGTCGCTGTTGCCGTCGCCGTCGTCGTCCTCGCCGTCACGGTCGCCGCCGTCGTGGTCTAATGGGCACTTTCCACCAATACAGTAGCGCTGACGACGTGCGATGCAAGCGCTACTCGCAGCGCCTATGCGGACTCAGCTGCGAAGCCAACTTTCAATCAAAGTGTTCGAGCTCGTCAGCCCCAGATCGCGAACCCGAACCCGTGCGACGCTGGTTTGGGCGAGCCCGAGACTCAATGGCAGATGGCGAATCTAAACTTCGTGCGCGCATGGCGTGGTGTGGGCAAGCCAAATGCCGACAAACATGTAGCAATGAATCACTCAAGTGAACGCTGGCAACGCCGGCGCCGGTGATTCACTCAGGTGAAGGATGTTCATTCGCTGTGCCGTCGACTCACTCTTATCCGCGACTGCGGGAGTCGCAAATCAACTTGCCAGACCCTGAAGAGACCTCCAGCATTCCCGCCAATCTTGCGCAGGGTCGATGGATGACTCTTCCATGCAGCGTTTCCAGAGGCGCCCGAGAGAACTCAAGAAACCCAGGTGTTTCGAGCATCCTGTAGACTGGAGGGTTTCGGAAAAGCTCTTGTGCTGAAATCTTGGAGGCGCCCCAAAAGGCCGCTAGAGGGCTTCAAGACGGCACGTAAGGCCTCGAGACGCGCGTAGAGGCCCGCAAACACAATCACAGACAAACACTCTGGCCAAAACTGCTGTGATGATTCCCCTGTTGGGCAGAAGCGAGGTCATCCACCAACCGAACTCTGCCACTTACTCTGGCGCTCCCTCTCCGGGCTTCACTACTGACACTGCACTCCGCCTCTTCCGGCAACCCGCGTGGGAATCGTCTCTGGCCGGCGTGCGAGGACGCGGTCGGGCTCGGCAGCAGGGGCGAACACAAGGATGCCCGACCTGTACAACGCGGCGCCCCGCAACACCCCCGTCGGCATGAGCGGGCGGCAAGGGTTCCATTGTTCCAGGCCCGCTGAGAAACAATTCGTTGCTTGGGGAATCTGACGCGCCCGGCTCCACGCCGCTGCCTTGGTGAGGCAAATGGATCGCCTACGCCTGTCGGGGTTCCTCCGCACAGTTTTCCGTTCTCGTGGGCACGAAACTCATGCTCAGCATCCAGGCTAAATGAGGCCAAGCAATCATGATGTAGGAAGGGAATCGTCAACGAAAGGAGGGCTGAATAATACATGCCCCAGCTCTTCAACATTTGAAGACCCCAAGCATGTCTAGCGAGACAAGTGTGCCCATCGGAACCTCACCGTGCATCTGACTGGATTTGAGTGCACCCGAGGCCTCTAGAACTGAACTGGTCGTTTACAATGGAGGCTAGAGCACAAGAAACCTTCCACAAGAAACCCAACCCTGAGAACCCAGGACGTCCATTGATTTCTGGTGTGGGAGCGCCGCGCTCTCCACAGCAAAACCACCGAACCCCAAGAAACCCTGCCGGCGGTCCACCTGTTTGGCCGCGTACTTCTGTAGTCTGGCTATGTGTACAACCTCCAACATCTCTACGCTCTCAGCATCGACGTCCTCGTCCATGTCAAAGGCGGCCTCGTCATTCTCTGGGGCCGCGCCGTCGTAGAACAGCCGCTGGACGCTATTACGGGTGTCCCACACTGATCTCCACACATCCACGCGGTGATGATGGCCTCTCGCACCGCGTGCATCGATCGCGCCTCCGCGAGGCAGCGCAAAGCTGCTCGAGGTCGGCCGATGCCCGGCCACGGGCGGCCTCCCCGGGGCGACGCGGCGCCCCTCTGCCTGGAACGCCCGCGCCGGCGCTGCCGCCGCGTCGAAGCTGCCCCAGCCTGCGGGACTCGGCGCGAGAGAGGAAGACCCCGGAGATCTCGGCGCTGCAACTTTTTCGCAACGGGCGTGTTCGCCCAGTTTCGGGCCTCGGGACCCTCACAGGCCGATCGGGCTCGAAAAACTGACGCCGCAATATGGGGTCTAGGGTGCAATTCACAGCCCAGAGTCTGCCTGAATAGAGCCTACTTGCGACAGATGGCCTCCAGGGGCCGAGTGTGAGCTAATATGCACAACACTCGGGCTCCACAGGAGCCCCTTTTTATGTAAGTCTGCGTTTCACAGCGTATCGTGTTTCCTACCCTCAATTTGCAGCCTAGCCATGCTTATTGGTCTCCCCGAGAGCGCTCGTAGAGCCCCAAGCCCCAGGGGCTCATTATCATATGTGTTTCACGTGCTCCCCAAGACGTTTCTACCGAAACCGTCTTGGCTCAAGCCTTTGCAGCGACACAATGTCGCTGGACTTCTGGTGTGCGCCCGATAGGCGCAGGATTACGAGCTGGCCCGCAACCGAAAAGCAGCTCCCTTCCAGGACCAGTGTGCGATCAGCATCGAGCTCCCCACTGCCCGATCCCATATAAATCAGTATCGAGATACTAAGCACGTCATCAGAGAAGACGGGAGGGAAGTACACATCAGGATTATTGCCAGGGCAGTGGTTCTAGCGGGACCATTGCACAGGGCTCTGGTCGCTATTTGTTTTCGATGTTTCAATTTTTCCGCGGCGTCGGATCTGAGGGGAGGTCCAGAGGGAAGCAAGGCCTGGACCACAGGACTTCATCCCGGATCATTTCTTCACCCCGTGTCGGTCTCTGACGGCCTCGGGCCCCAGGAGTGGCCCCCGGGAGGCCGAGAACGGCGACGCATCCCAGGGCCCCTTTCCCTCAAAGCCGCAGGACCCCGGCTCTCCACGACGGTCCTCCCTCCGCGCTCCCAAAACTCAGACCCCAGATCTCTGCAGGGCTTTGTGTCCTGAACACGACTTCGAGGCGAAGTCCGCCGTGGCGTCGCAGGTGTCAAAAAAAAGCGAGACGCTGCCAACAAGGTCGATCCTCGAACCTCTGTCCTCGAAGCTTGATCCTCGACCCTCGCCTACAATTAGAGAAAGTCCAGGGTTCGCTAAGGACTGGTTTCCTTTCAAAACAGCCGAAGCCCTCCCGAAACCATGCGAAAACCCTCTGGGAAGGGTTCCAGGAGGCGTTTCACACAAGGCTTCGGGAGGGTTTTGGCAAGGTCTTCGCCGTTTTGGAAGGGAATCGGTCCCTAGCGAATCCTGGGCTTCCTAAGCCTACAGGCCCACGGCCACCCTTCGCCGACGTGGAGGCAGCGGCGGTCCTGCGCCGTCTCGACGAAGGTGCTGCCCACCACGACACCCACGCCGCCATCGAACTGGGAGGCCCGCGGGCTCGGCCCGGAGGAGACGCGGCGATGGCGAGGCGCCTCCTCGCCATGGCCCACCTCCTCTCCCTCCTCCTCCTCCTCCTCCTCTTCCTCCTCCACCTCCTCCTCCTCCTCCTCCCCTCCTCCTCCTCCTCCTCCTCCTCCTCCTCCTCCTCCTCCTTCTCCTCCATTCCCTCTCATTATGAATGACTCCTCCCTGTCGCACACCGGGGCCCAGTCGGGAGGGCGGGCCAGACGTTTCGCCCGAGATTTCCTCACCTTTCATAATCCTGACGCTTAAGCATTTACAAGAATTTCACAGATGGAAGGCGACTGGTTTTCAACATGTGATTCGCGCATTAGCGCCGCGCACATCCGTGTTAAACATTTGTAAGAATTTCACAGATTGAGAACTGGTGGTTTTCAGCATGTGACAATCGCCTGAGCGCCGCGCACATCCGTGCTAAACATTTGCAAGACTTTCACACATGGAAGGCGGGTGGTTTTCAACATGCGGTTCTCGCCCTCGCGCCGCGCACATCCGTGTTAAACAGTTGTGAAAACTTCACGGCTTGAAGGCGGGTGGTTTTCAAAATGTGGCTCTCGCCTTCGCGCCGCGCACATCTGTGCTAAACATCTGTAACAATTCACGGATTGAGGGCGATGTTTTTCAAAGTGTGGCTCTCGCCTTAGCGCCGCGCACACTCGTTTTAAGACATTATACCAGTTTGAAGGATTCTCATGGCTACGTAACGTCCCAGATAGTGTTCCGGCACGATATCGGACAGTCAGGGCGCAACAGTTACCTTGATTCGTGGTGCTTAAGTAAATCCAAGGAGATGGTGTTCTGGCACGATTGAAGATCGGCAAAGCACAACAGAGACGGTGATTCGCGGCCTTGAAATCTTAGGAGGAGTGTTCTGGCACAGTTCAGGAATTTCAAACGCTTGCTTTCCAACTTCCATCAGTGAAAATGAAGCCTTGTAGGGGCCTGTGAACAGGGAGCTTGAGGGAGGGTTAGATTGCAATATCGTTGATGAACTTTTGGGATTTCACTGGGCCTCCTCTTCCTCCTGCTTTTTTTCCTCCCCACCGCGCGTATGATTTCGTCATGTATCCCATTCCCATTCCCATTCCTCCCTACCGCGCGGACGAAGACGAGGTCGAACTCACGACCCGTACTTAGCTTGCCACTTGTTGGAATTGCGCTGTTCTTGCACTCGGTCTCCTTCCAGCAGCGCTGCTGCACAGGCATGGTGGCGGGGCTTGCTGCAAGCAGTTGGATCATTTCTCAGAGGTCCGCGCGGTAGGGAGGAATGGCGCTGGCCCCCCCTCCCTGGCGCGCAGAGCGCGCCAGGGGCGGCGCCGGAGGCGCCGCCAGGGGGGCCCAGCCCCGATCCACGAAACCCGCGCTGACCTCAGAGAAATTGCGCTTATGCAGTGATATTCACGAGGGAGAAAAACACACAGACACAATTAATCGTGGATCCCCTAGAAAATATGGGAAAATATGGGAAGTGGGGGGAAGACGAAAATCCAAAAAATA